GATAACTAGAAAGAGGACACCTTAATTGATTGATTTGAGAAGTTTATCTAGCTTTCTCTAATTGGTACTGAATTGGAAGTAGGGATAAAAATTAGGAAAGCTGGTAGATATAGACTAAATCCAGACTATTTGGATCTACTGCTATAAAGGATATAGGTCTGAGTTGTAGTTTTATATATGATCTGACCATTGTCATCTGTATATTTAGTTTCTTATTATTCTAATACAGATATTGGTACCCAGAAGTGAGGTGCTACAACAACAAAATCCTATGCAGTACTGGCTGAGTGATCAGGCTAAGAGCTGTAGGAAGCTGATACTGGATGCTGGGAAAATGGAGAACCTTGATTCACAGTGGCAAAATATTTGGGAAAGCTGTTGCCTATAATAACTGTTCTTATAATTCTATGAAGAGTCTGGAAAAAGCAATCTTAGAAGTATATATTGATTGCTATTGTACAGTTATGTGCCACATAAGAATGTTTCAGTCAGTGAAGGGCCACACATACAAAAGTAGTCCCAAGAGTGTATAATGAAGCTGAAAAATTCCTATCACCTCGTGACATCACAACACAATGTATCTCCCCCATGTCTGTGGTGATGCTGATGTAAATAAATCTACTGTGATGCCAGTAATATAAGACAGCACTTATAATCATGTACTACATAATACTTGATAAATGACATTACTGAGTTTTTACTATATTTTACTTATCATTAAAGTGTAACCTTTACTTATAGTAAAAAAAATTTACTATAAGTAAACAAATAAGTCAAAAAAGCAGCAGCTAATTTGAAAGCAGAAATACAAGGGAATAAAAGAGTTCAAAACTGAAATCTTTTCCAGGGTTAGAAAAGCAGCTTGTTGGGCTAGGGACATTGCTCAGTTGATAGAGTGCATGCCTCGCATGAAGGAGGCCCTGGGTTCAATCCCTAGCAACACACACACACACACACACACACACACACACACACACACACACACAAACACTCTCTCTCTCTCTCTTAATAAAAATATGCTGCAATAAAAATTCTTGAGCATTCCTTAAGATAAATTCCCAGAAGTAGAAATACTGGATCAAAGTGAATGCCTAGGACCAAGGGTATAGGTCAATGCCTAGGGCCAGGGGTTTAGGTCAATGGTATAGTGCTTATTTAGCATGTTTGAGATCTTGAGTTCAATCCCTAGCACTGTGCTTAGCACAGCAAGGAAAAAAAATATATATATATATATATATATTTATATGTATATGTGTGTGTGTGTATTATGTGTTAAGAGAGTGTGCATTTAAAATTCTGATATTGGGCTGGGGATGTGGCTCAAGCGGCAGCGCGCTCGCCTGGCATGCGTGCGGCCCGGGTTCGATCCTCAGCACCACATACCAACAAAGATGTTGTGTCCGCCGAAAACTAAAAATAAATAAATATTAAGAATTCTCTCTCTCTCCTCTCTCACTCTCTCTTAAAAAAAATAAAATAAAATAAAATTCTGATATTTATTATTAGATTGCCTTCAAGGTGTACTCATCTATAATCCCATAAACAAGATATGGCCAATATTAAAATTATCAAATCTTAATAATCTTTATTACTATGACATGTCAAAATTCAAATTAATAATAAAGATGAATTTTAAAAGAATTCTTCAAAAAAGCCAAGTATGGTGGGACTTGCCTGTAATTCCAGTTATTCAGAAGGCTGAGGCAGGAGGATCTCAAGTTGGAAGCCAGCCTGGACCACATGAGTCCTTGTCTCAAATAAAAGAACTCTTTAAAGCAAAACAGCTACCTCTTTAACCAACAGTACAGTGGTGCCAGATCATTCTTCCTAATTAAAAGTTCTAATCATGTCACTTTCCCTATTACATAACATTAAATTACTCTTAACTTCAATTTAGTGGTTCTGGAGTTCTACCTGGTTATGTCTCCAGCTCTGCCACATACTAGCTGTCTGACCTCGGGCAAGCTGCTTAACCTGTGTGTCTTAGTTTCTCCATCTTCAAATATGGGCAAAATTAGGTTCTATCTCATAAGGTTGTTGTGAGCATTAAATACATGTCAAATGTTTAGAATAAGCACCTGACTCATAATAACTTAGTTATTATCTGCTTATGTCTGACATATATTTTCTGTGTATCTCCATACTTGTACCTTATACTCTAACCAAATTACTGGCTCTCAGATAATATACCTTTTGCTTTTCTACTGTCATGTTCTTTTTTTTTTTTTTTAAAGAGAGAATGAGAGAGGAGAGAGAGAGAATTTTTAATATTTATTAGTTCTCGGCGGACACAACATCTTTGTTGGTATGTGGTGCTGAGGATCGAACCCGGGCCGCACGCATGCCAGGCGAGCGAGCTACCGCTTGAGCCACATCCCCAGCCCCTCTACTGTCATGTTCTTACTCATCCTTTTTTTTTTTTTTTTTTGGTATTGACAATTGAGCCCACTGAGCTATATCTCCAGTTTTTTTTTTTTGTTTTTTTTTTTTTAAGACAGAGTCTTGATAAGTTGCTAGGGCCTCACTAAATTGCTGAGGCTGGACTTGAATTTGCAATCCTCCTGCCTCAGCCTCCAGAGTTATTGGGATTATAGGCATGTCCCACCTCACCCAGCACATCTTGTTTATTCTTATTGAAAGGGCCACTGCTATATTTGTCTTGTAGAAATTATATCCAATCTTCAAAACTTCATTCAAATGCCTCCCCTAACAGAAACTTTCATTGAATTTCGATCTACTATCCTCTGAAAACTACATTCTATTTGCATGATTCAAATAAAACGTGCTTTTGTCCTCTTCATATTCTTGTCCTATTTTTCTTACCTGGTCAGGGATTCTAGAGATAATGTGTCTTGAAGAACAGCTTGATTGATCTAGCTATATATTTAGGAAAAAAAATTATACGTACACATATTTTTTTAAATAGACAATGAAATGAATTAAAAGAGACCTACATAAAGTCATGTAGTTAGCTGGGTAATGCTAGGAATGGACTCCACATCTAATCCAGCCTCTTTTCATCATATCTACATCTTGAATTTTCTATGGGCAAAGAGTATGTTCACTTAGGCTTTTAAGGGACACTTACATTGTTTACACTGAATAGACAAAATTTCAATTGTTTTGAAGTTTAAGACCCTCTTCAAAAATACAACAATCAGTAAACCCAAATGCTTATTGTTTTCTTGTTGAATTTAGGAAAAAAAAAAAAAACAGGTACTATTACATGATAAGATTTCAAAGTGTTACCTTGGTCTGAATTATGTTATTATGAGATCAGCAATGATAACTGGTTGTGTTTCTCAGCAGCAGCAGAGTCTTAGTTTTTCAAAGAGCAATATTCACAAATCTCTGAACATAAACATTTTCTTTCATTTACTTTCTAAGAACTAGCTGATGAAATCCCAGTTACTAGCAAGGCTGAAGCAGAAGAATTGCAAACATGAGGCTACCCAGAGCAACTTAACAAGACCTTCCTGCTAAGCTAAATAAAATAAATTCAATAAAATAAAAAGAGTGGGAATGTACCTCGTGGTAGAGAGCCCCTGGGTTCAATCCCTACTACCACCAAAAAAAAAAAAAAAAGGAAAACAATCAGTATATTTTTATCTTCATGCTGAAAAATGGTAATTTCTGGACAAAGTTGCTCAATGACTAACAGTGATGTAAAAAAAGTCACCTACTAATATAAATATCATATCTAAAATAATGAGAGGAGGGACTATTCCAAGATATGTACATAGAACATACACACAGAATATGTACACAGAACAAGGACCAACATTAAAAGCAAAACAAAAACTCTGCCTATAAATGAAGGCCATTTATCATACATTAAAAAATGTAGTGGAAGTACTTTTTTTTATTGTTTTGGAGACTAGCAAGGCATAATCAATCAACAGGCACAGAAAGAATGTGCCTTTCACAGTATGTGCTATGATCTAGTTTCTTGCAGTAACAGTTTATCAGAGGAACATAATGCTACTTAAAAATCAGTCAAAATTTTCCACCGCCTTAGGGAATCAATCTGTCTACTTATTTAAAGGTAAAAGAAAACCTTGGTAAGGCAATCACAAATGTTGGTATCTTAGTAGGCAACATGCATTCCGAATATAATTGTCCTACCTTTTCCTCCTCATGGAGGAAAAATGGATAAACATTTTCAACCTTCAATAAATAATTCATAAAGGTCTGACAAGTTTCAAAATCTCAGGCATTCAAGTGCATTTACAAAACTGGAGTGATAATATTATTTGTGTTACAGAGGATACTTAGGGCTCACTAACGATAAGTTCTAGACGATGACACACATTTTAAGTTATTCACATGAATCGAAAAATATTCACTTTGTTCCCTTAAAAATGACTTTTAATTGAAGAAGTCAGGGGATGGGATGAAACAAAATCACCCGAGAGTAATTCTTTGCGCTCCAAGTTATAATAAACAAAGTTCCCGAAATTGATATACACATTCCTATTCTATAAATCCACCGCCATCGCTCCCATGGCTTCGAACTATGAACAGAGACCTAACATTAAGGCGTAAGGGAGAGATTCCCACGATTTCAAGTTATACCCAAGGATCCGGGCCCTCCGCGGTCCAAAGAACTGCGGTAGCTCTTTCAACGCAACTTTCCTTCAGAACCACCCTTCTCTTTCCGCCCCTCGGAAGCGAGTTGGGGGTGGGGTGGGAGGGGACAGTTGCCTCGAGGCCGCCAGCACGGCAGGTTCTTCCCAGCCAGACCTGCACGTCCGAGGCCGAAATGCCTGGGGCTCTTCCTGCAGCACCCGGTGCGGCCAACCCTCGCTTCCCCAGGGCAGGGCTCAGCTCAGGTCAAAGCCAAGTCAGGCCCGGACCCGGCCGGCTCAGCCCGCCGGTCCGCAGCAGCCCCTGGACCCCCGCCAGCGGGGATGGGCGTGGGCCCCTGCGGCCACCTCCCCGGCCGAGAGGACTCCGGAGGAGAGAGTGAGCCCCACCCGCTACGGCAGCCCCGGACTTACCTGCAGGGGAGAGCGGGGCTCCTGGACAGCGGCC